TTACAAAAATGTGTTCCTTGCTCTTAAAATTCTTGAACTCTGCTCTTCTTCCTGTATTGTTGTACTTTTCTTCCCAATTGTTTTCCCCCCACACTGTCACTTAACTTAAACTATGGCACTATACCACCAAACCAAGTAATAATTATAAAAACATGAAAACCTGTTTGATGTACTTTTAACTTGCTTTTGTTACGTTTGAATTATCCACATGATGTAATCTGTAATAAGATGTTATTCACTCTACTACAGTTTCCCATGCAGAGCCAATTCCTTTACACCTGTGCCTCCAGACCCTGTGGGATGTCCTGCCTGTGGACCCAGTGGTGTCCCCCTCTGGACAACACAGGCACTGCTGCTCCAGGCTGAGCTCTGTGTTTGGAGAGCAGGATGATGACATGATGGAAGCAGCCAAGGCTTTACTCAGCATTTTTCTGCACCATAGGTTTGTATGAGACCTCTCTGTCAAAGACTACTACAGATGACTTTTCAACTATTATTTATATATATATGTAAAATACACATTTTTTCAATGTAGCCTATTTTTCTTCACAAACACCTACTGCATTTATTCCACCAAGTTAAGTTAAAATTAGAAAATCATAAAAACCTGCCATACACTCTTTAATATGGCATTATGCTAGTCTTGTTTTAATTTACATTCTGACCGAAACATTGATCTTCTGTGTGTTGTCTGTTTACAGGAAGCAGGAGCCCACTCTTAGCGCTGCCCCTCTCTCGCTATGGGCATGCTCCTTGGGCCTCAATCCGCACTGTCACTTCCTGCTTCTGCTGCGGAGCCTGGCGTTTGACCACCGCGTGCTGCTGGACTTCCTCATCTCCACGGAGACCTGCTTCCTGGAGTATTTTGTGCGCTACCTCCGCCTCCTCCGCACAGACCCACAGGGCTTCAGCGCAGCCTGCTCAGAGCCCAGGACAGAGCGGGGAGCAAGGGGGTCTGGGAGAGTTGAATGTGCAGACGGAGCAGGGCAGAATTGTGGAGTCCTGCTGGTCGACTACAGCAGCTCCGGAGAGTCGGACGCAGAAGAGGCAGAGGGGGCAATGGACTGTGACAGAGCCCAGGACAGAGGGCCATATTGGGGGGCTGCAGTGCGCTGTCTGAGCCTGCTGCTAGAGCTCCTGTCCAGGCTCCACAGTAAGAAGCTCTTCCCATACAACCCAAGGTCCCTCATGAAGCTCCTCACTGAGGCAGAGGCCAGTCTCAAGTCTGTGTCTACCAAACAATAGACAGTAATTATGAACCTGCACACACTGAAACTAAAGGCTCCTGAAAGTGTCATTGATTATCTTACATTTTTTTAATTGCAGTTGTTTTTAGTTAACAACATAACGTGTGTGTCGCTGTGTGCATGTGCGTGTGTGTGTTCTCAGAGTTGCACTCCCCGCTCTTTGAGATTGCACATTACCACTTGAGTTGGGAGTATCTGAAACAGACAGCAAGACCAAAAGTCTTACGTGACCACTGACCAGCAGTGAGTACTGCTGAATAATTTGTCTCAGTTTCTTTTCTGACTATACTAATCGTATCATTTGATTAATTAACTTGTATTGTGATGTTTCTGGCTTATATTATTACTTTCTCGCTAAAATTACTAAGATTACTAAATCACTGATCACATTGTGCAGTGTCTTGTAAGTTTTTAAAGCTGCACTATGTATTTTTTACTTTTTTGGGAGGTTGCAGTCGTCTCCATGGAGACTGTCCCTTGAGTGTTCCACAGTATGATGTTAAACTTATCTCTGTAGAGACTAGCAAGAGCCAAGCTACAGGTCAAATCTATCAAGAGGCAACACAACTCAAGAAGAAGAATTTACTTGTATTTATTTGCAAAAAATAAATAAGATAAATCGAATTTGATGAATAATTTTTATTCCATATTGTGGATCTCCATGGAGACAATCAAGTGGCAAGCCCTCCCACCAGAAATGTTATACTGCACCTATGTATGACAGATTTTTTTATTATAAATGTCTGGTGGGGTAATATCTGATGTAAATATAAAAGACAGTTTTATACCAATCAAGAAGCAATTTGTGAAGAAAAGTTGAAAAATTTGTTGAAAATTACAGGAAGTGGAGAAATTTAGAGAGTTCCACGTTGATGACCTTATGCTGGGGACAATCCAAAAGCACAATTCACATGCTAGAAAAAACATTTCTGATTCTTTAAACAATATTTCAAGAAAATAAAGGTATTTTCTTATATTTTCATTTGTCAAATAATGATATATTCTGTATACAATAGAACAGAATTATAGATGTATATATATATATATATGTATGTGTGTGTATGTGTATATATATATATATATATGTATATGTATATGTATGTATGTATATATCTTAATTATAATGATCTTAACTGTGCTTTAGTGAAATTAGTAGTTCAGCCTGTCATAGGCAAGTTAAAAAGTTAAAGATTTCAGTTTTGTAAAAGAAACTTACAGGGAATGTAAATCACACTGCTGCTGCCATTGAGCCACCGCCACACCAGACCATCATGCCTCAGGCTCACCCAGTAGCTGTCACTGCCCTCTACAGGCTGACTGATGGAGCACACAAAGTCTAGACTCAGGGAAAGATTGTGTTAATAAGTATGCTCTCTGTTAGCTCAACAACTTTCAAACACATAACAGGAATTGCTTAAATAAAAAGGTGAAGACGTGTATTGTTTATTGTTTTGTAATGGGAAATAATATATATATTAAAATGTGAAAAATTAATAAAGTTTTGGCCTTTTTTACCTTATTTGTTTATTTAATAGGCTGTTATTTTACACACAATTGAGAATTAAGATTTTTACATAACCGACCGACCAGAGATCACAGGTGATCACAGGTGAGTCTGAACAAAGGCCAGGTGGGGGAGGGTGAACAGGTTTCTTATCTGCCATCTTCCAGTGAAATAAAATATATATATATATTGAATAAACTTAAAAATAAATGGTAGCTTTAAAGGATCTGTCATTCCCCAGTTTGCATCATTTATTGAATGCTAGTCCTTAGCTTGATTCTATTTTCATTCTTTTACTTGTAAGTAATGATTAAAACACTATTATGTAAATAGAATTTGAAAAGACACGTAAAATACCTCTCATTCAGCCAAAATTACCAAACACATAAAATTACAGCTTGTTGTGCGCTTTAAGTCATAAACAAACCTGGAGTTATGTTTTGTTTCATTTACACATTCTGTCTACATCTCCAAAGCTCAACATGCTCTGTTCCCCCTTGTGATGTCATGTAGTTGTAGTGTTTAAGTCAACAGCTACCTTTTACCTTTTATTCAGTAGAGATGGGAAAATCCAGAGCAAATAATTTGCATGGCTTGTGTGTTAAACATGTGTGAATGAAACAAAACACACTCACACAAAAAAAATGCCCCAGTTCCATATTAGGAAAAAGAATTTATTTACAGAAAAAAATATGAAATAAAAATACCCGGATCATAATACGATACTACGAGCATTTTAAGCAGATCTTTAGCGGGTTAGCTATGTCCATTTATATACATATACAGTCTGTGGTATTTACCCATTCATTCATGGTGTGTGTGTGTGTGTGCGAGTTTCATCTCCCGTTTGTCACATTCTTCCACTGCCTCATTGAAGGTCTTCAAGTCTGAGTCCACAGCCCCCAGAGCGTCGTAACAAAGCCCATTGTCCACTGTCAAGAAAAAAAAACAAAAAACATAAATATCTACTGCTACAGAACCACACAAGTCACAGTTCTTTTGTACAATTTACTGGTGTGAAAATGCTAAAGTTTTGACCTGATTTATCGTAAATATGCAAAGAAAAATAAAACAAAAATTGGTTTGTGGTCTTCTCTCAGCTATGGTTGTCAAAAGTATCGAAAATCAGATACTTGATTGATAATTAAACTAGATACTCATTTGAACAGGTATCAATAGTAAAAGGGTCATAGTCACAGGACAAAAATGAACCTTTCCTGAATAGTTAAAGAAGTATACACCTATGGACCACTATGAAACCTACCTGGACCACGGTATTACACAGATATAAGACCACATGGTAATATAAAAGAAAGTACCATTGTTTAATGTTGAAATCCCATTCTAATGTCTAAAGAGAGGGTGTTTTTAATTATCACTGTGGTATCGGAATCAGGCTCAAATATTCAGGCTTATTTATGTTTAAGGCATTGAAAAACATGGCTATAATATTCCACAGCATCTATGGAGAATGTTCCAAAGTATGGTTTTAACTTTCTAGAAGGGAAAAGAACACGAGCGCCTTCATCTTAAGCCCCTCCACTAAACGATACAAGACGTCAGAGACAGTGCTTACTACCATATTGCTAGTTTTCAGATGACATCACAACTTTCTATAGGCCAACATTATTTGTATGATGGGTGCAGATAAAATTAATATTGTTGCAGATTTTTGTTGTAATACAGTGAGCTCTATTCTGAGGATTATACCAAAACAGAAATGATAAAGTACAAAATGTGTGTATTTAGCTTTTGATTATTTCATGGCAAAGTACAATGTTATAATTCAGATTCTAGAATGTGATAATGTCATACTCCCAGATGAGGGGCAAGATCCTATTGATCACCCTACTTTGTCATGAAATACTGAAAAGATAAATTTTCAAATATGGACTATGATCATTTCTATTACTGATTGGACCCAAGACCATGCTGTATTGCAACAAAAATCTGCAGATGAACAATAAACATGATAATATTATAACAATAACAATAAAATATAATAATATTGATAATGATTTTAAAAAATTAATATAGATACATATATTGATAACAACTAATCAATTTCTTAATTTTTCTTCTAAATTTTGTGTATTTATTTTTGTTTGCTCAAGCCGAAGCTTAAATTAAAACATGTTATCAGGATGTCACACATGGTAAAATAAACTTTAAAATGATTTGAAAAGCACTTTTTACTTTTCTGTAAAAATTTACTTATGTAAAGTACAGAAAATTCTATGCAAGTATAGTACTTTAAAACTTGTACTTTGTTACATTCCACCACTGATTAGTGTTTTATTACTCTAAAATACATAGGAAAAGATTAATTGTTAACAAGTCCAGACTCAGCTGAAAAGTGACCAAGTGCACCTTTAAGACAGTTGTGTAAATTTGTGCAGTGACAGAGAGGCGCACTTACCAATAACAAAAGGTATAAGGGTAAGAATCACAACTACTGAAGCCCACATGAGGATGCTCAATATGAGTTGGCGACACCATTCTATTTAAAAAAAAAAAAAAAGAAATAAATAAATCTCTCTTGTACCACACCCTCCTGGAATGTACAAAGCAAACACTTAAGTTTTAGTCCAGCACTATGTGCAGCCCTATTGGTTTAGCCTGACTCTTCAGACCTGGTTTAGTCCTGGTGCAATTACAGCATAGTCCTGGTTTATTAGTTCTGAATTAGGTGTATAGTTTAACCCAGGATTAGACTTGGTTTAGATCTGTTATATGGGTTTGGTATGGTCTTTCTTTGGTCTGATGCATAACAGTAACATGAGTAATGAGCTCCTATATTTGAATGTGGTAAGGGTCAGTGGACAAACATGTACTGTTATGTGTACCCTGGGTGTAGCCTATATTGTGTAACAGTATTTGTCCAGTGTTAAGCTCTAGTAGTCTGATCACATATGATTCCTGTATACTGAAAATATACTCTATTGAAAATATACTCTTATTCTCTTTGTATTCCTTCAGTGTGATTCTTACCATTCGTCCGGCTTTCAGAAGCTCCATCAGTAGTATCTGTGAAAAATAGTAGGACGCACGCACGCACACACACACGCGCGCACGCGCGCAATGAATGGCCGTGTCAGTGGAATTTTAAAGGCATTCAAAGATGTTTAGCGAAAGCAAAAGGTTTCAAAGAATCTGACAGAAAGAATTGAATGATCAGAATGACAAAATGCTATTTTGTCGTCTCCGCTGGTTGTTTTGTAATGGCGTTAATAATTTATAGTATTTTTGTAATGTTTTATGATGATCATGGCCAACTCACATGATGGCAGAACAGTTAGGAGTTGGGGGCGTCGGCAACTTAAGATAGCAAAATAAATCCAATCTGCTGAATATGAACATACCGACATGTGCATAATCTTGGTTTCGCCGGATTGATAATCCATCCTCCCGTTAACAGCTGCTAGAATAAAACTTTAAATACTGCTTTCTTAAGTAGTTCCTCAGATCAGTTAATTAATTTCATAAAATTTAACGTGTAAAGCTACGCTACCAACGCTTTGCTGGACAACATCCACCCCTAGCACAGACTCTAATTTTATTTAACTAATATATTTTTACACTCTATAGTATGATCCCTGGGCACAGCTTGAGGACTTGGTCAGGTAAAACAGTGGTGTAATTATGATGAACTTTTGGTAATTGTCACAACTTCAGTGGACAAAAACAACGTTTAATAATTCATTTATTACACTGTTTTGTGTCAAGCAGATTTATGTGCGCTGTCTTTACCCCAGCAGGTGGCGCTGATGCTTTCAGCAGTGCTTTATGCCATAGACTTGAGTTTCGAAGAAGAAAAGGCGAACTAGCAGAGATAAGATGGCGACTACCATCAGCACCCAGCGGGGACAGGTCTGTTTACGTTCCTTTTCCGGGCAAATATAGCTGCTATTTTCTAATAACAAGGCGATGTATGCAACACAATGGACAAACTCAAGTCGAACTTACGTTCACACCTTGTTCATTACATTTATTTAACGTCACTTCCTAAGAAACGAACTCTATTAATTCCCGTACAGAGGGTTTTCTCCAAGTAAAGTAACAAACCCTACAATGTTGTGAAAATGAAGTTGTATTGTTATGTATTTTAGCCCCTCGTGAAGAGTGTGGTGACGTTTGCTTACCGAAATCAAAGCGGATTATTACAAATCTCTAAAGTAAACACGGCTAGCTCAGCACCGATAGCACTGGGCTACTATCAGTCATCATATCGATGATTACCACTGTCACTCGTCATCAGGCCGTACAACGAACTACTCTGTCTTATCAAGCGTTCACGTGTATTGGTTTGGACATTTTTCTGGGCCATGTCCGTTTTAAGAGCTCACATTTGGCCCGTTGTGTGTGGAACAGGTGTACATTGGAGAGCTACCCCAGGACTTTCTGCGGATCAGCCCCACTCAGCAACAGCAGCAGGTGCAGTTGGACGCCCAGGCCGCCCGACAGCTGCAGTATGGGGGCTCCCTGAACACCATTGGCCGCCTCAGCATCACAGTGGTTCAGGTATGTACTTCTGCTAATTAGGCCTGATGTCAACTGAAGAAATTCTTGTTCAACTAAAGACATGTCCTGTTGATCGATTAGTCGATTTAAAAGGGGTGTGGCAAAAACTCTCAGAACTATTATGTATCTCTATGTACCTGACCCAAGCTGCACTCACAGGACTATACCTCTATGGAAGTTCATGTAAAAAAAAAAAAAACTATATACAGAAAGAAGTACTACAAGATAATATATTTATATAACGTAACACCATGACACATGAACTGTTTGGCTGCGCTTGTGGCTCCGTGGTTCGCACACTGAGCCAAAGAACACATTGGATAGTGTGAAATTAGGTGTTTGTTTTTCCTATATCTATGGAGAGTGTGCAAGATGCAAGCCAAGGAGCAAGCCAGGGAGCTAGCTATGAAGTTTTGAGATGGTACAGGCTTCTCATACCATATGTGGCAGCAAATGTGGCATAAGACCTTCCAGAGTAAATATTCCAAGACCTTCCAGGGGAAACACTTTGTGGGGATTCTTCACCAACTGAAACAACAGAGCAGAGTAAGGCCTATCCTGCTGTGTTCCCCTGGCTTCACCTGGACACTGCTGTGATGTCCTGACTCAGATCTACTGACCGTACCTGACCAGTCCCCCTGTTGAACTGCACTGAGACCTTTGATTGAAACACAAAAGCGACCTGAGTGTAGTGTAAAAGTTGCTGCAGCAAAATTAGAATTTCTGACATAGTTCGACTGAGACACCATCACTGATTAAAGTGCATAACGTTTATTTTATTTATTTATTTGAAATAGGGACAAAACACATTAATGGACATATACATGATATGTAAATATGTTGTCAGATTGTTGCCCAAGGCTAATTTCCATCTGCTGTCCCTAGACAGGTTGATGTAATCATAAAACAAATACACACAGTAAAAACAATACACCCAGACAGACAATACAATGATGCAAATAGACAGACATAAAGAGCTGGTTACTCACAAGATCACAGACACAGGTCAACTAAAGGATGTTAGATTATATGATCAAAATTGCACACTGCCCTGTGTAGTTAAGGTGCCAGTGTATAAGTATTGCACACAGCCCATTGCTAAAATTATTATAGTACTTTGCACAACCCTAAAAAAAGAAAAGAAAACATGTAAGATTGCTAAATAACCCTGCTTATAAAGTGCTTTTCCACAATGTATTGCATGTGCCCTCAAAGGTAAATTTTTTTAGCATATTGCATATTGCCCGTAAGTAAAATATTAAAATACTTATTTAATAAATGGTATATTGCCCATTGCACATTGTAAACTATAGTAAATGATCACACATCTGTGTTGACCAGAGCCATGTCTTTTAATGGCCTTTAAAAGTAGTGAAGCTGGGAGAGTCTCAGATATGACAAATGTAGAGATTATTACATAACTAGAACCTAGCAGCCATAATGTTAACAAAAGCCAAAATGTGTTACATTACACAATTATGAAAATAAATAACACCTTTCCTTCCTTGTGTTTTAATTGTCGATTTATTTAGATGTAAGTTTTGGTGTTGATGACATAGGTAGAGGTATTCCATTTTAGAATTCTCTAGAGCTCTACTTCCTGTATTTTTTTTTTTTTCAAATAACTGCATCTTGATGCAAAACAGTGATAAAAATTTACCTCAGGTTGTCACCATACAAAATTCTATTTGAATACTAAGGAATAGACTCAATACTTAATATTTCCAATACCACAATAATAATAAAAACACTCTTCCTTTAGACAATAGAATGCAATTTAAATTAAATAATAGTTGTTTCTTATCAAGGTATGATCCAGAGTGGTCCAGATGTCTACTAGTCTATGTGTTTTTATATTTGTTCTGATACAGCTCAAGATCATTATAAAGCTAGTAGTTGATAGTATACCTGCTCAAATGAATATCTAGTTTCAATGTTAGTTTTAATATCAATGCTGATTCTCCTGACAGCCCTACTACAGGTACTATCCCACTAAACCAAGTCATATTGGAAAAACCTGAAAACCTGTTATATGCACTTTATTAAATTTGCTAATATTTTCTATTCTAGGCCAAACTGGCTAAAAACTACGGTATGACGCGGATGGACCCATACTGCAGGATCCGGCTGGGGTATGCCGTTTATGAGACGCCCACAGCTCACAACGGAGCCAAGAACCCACGCTGGAACAAAGTGATCCAGTGCACCGTTCCCCCAGGGGTTGACTCCTTCTACCTGGAGATCTTTGACGAGGTATGACTCTGAATCACCAAAACTCTGCTCATCCAAGGCTCATGTTACTACAGTATTACAGCAGCTGCTTAACGTGCATATGACAGCTTAGATGACTTAATTTGCTAACACTATACTAAACTCCTTGCCTTTTTTTGGTACTGTTTATAATTTTACATATTTAGTTCTCCTGTCCATGTTTAACTCATTTATGACCACATACAGATGTACTTTGTGATTCATGTGTGAATGTGTTTTTTGTTGCTTCATATACCTCCAGAGGGCATTCTCCATGGATGACCGGATAGCCTGGACTCATGTGACAATCCCGGAGAGCCTGAGGGAGGGCAGCGTGGTGGATGAGTGGTTCAGCTTAAGCGGTCGACAGGGGGATGACAAAGAGGGCATGATCAACCTGGTCATGTCCTTTGCTGTAAGTTTACAAATCACTTTGATTACAAGCATGTGGCATTCCCATCACAGTCTTTGAAATGACTTTATGCTCTCACTGTATAAGTATAGACAAAGTTTGCACAAACTTGATACATGTAACATTATGAGACTGACACTGACCATAAATGGTGCTTTGTTTCAGTCTCTGCCCGCTGGAGTGATGCCCCAGCCTGTGGTCCTCATGCCCTCTGTGTACCAGCAGGGGGTGGGCTACGTCCCCATCTCAGGTCTGACTTTACACACACTCAGCTTTTCTCTTTGTTTAGTGTAGTTAACCTCTGTGTGTATTCTCCTCAGGAGTTCCAGCTGTGTATAACCAAGGCATGGTCCCTATGGGGGTCCCTGGGCCACATGCTGCCCCAGTGAGCCAGGGCCCCCTGTGCAGTGAGGAGGATCTGAAGGCTCTGCAGGATATGTTTCCAAACCTGGACAAAGAAGTGGTGCGCACAGTGTTGGAGGCACAGCAGGGCAACAAGGATGCTGCCATTAACTCTCTGCTGCAGATGACCGAAGAGCTCTAACACTCACCTGGAGAACATTCTGCTCAAGGGCCAAACTCCTCTGCAAACTACTAACTGCTCACACAAAGGATCTGTGCAAGCTGTCTGATTCACCATGATCCTGCTCACTTCCACTTCAGTAATTGCTGCTTGCTTATAGCCTAATATATTTCAGTAAATTAGCTTACAGTGTTTTTTTTTTTTTTTGG